TTGTTTGTTGTTTGTTGTTTGTTGTTTGTTGTTTGTTGTTTGTTGTTTGTTGTTTGTTGTTTGTTGTTTGTTGTTTGTTGTTTGTTGTTTGTTGTTTGTTGTTTGTTGTTTGTTGTTTGTTGTTGTTGTTGTTGTTGTTGTTGTTGTTGCTCTTCTTCTTCTTCTTGTTCTTGTTGTCGTTCTTCTTCTTCTTCTTCTTGCTGCTGTTGTTGGTGGTGGTGGCGGGAGCAGCAGTAGCAGTGGCAGTAGCCGTAGCAGCAGTAGCATACTAAGTATCAAAAGTTACTAAGTATCAACAGTAGCAGGCCTCAGAGCTGCTATGCTCACTGCACTGGCAGCGACGAGCGGCACAGCGGGACCTGAGATTGATCTTTCGGTAAAAGGGGTGTCTCATCCATACTGAACCTGCAAAGATGGAGTGTCTTCTGTGGTGACCAAAAAGGTTGGAGGACATGTCCACAGATCAGTGGCAGGGAAAGATTTCTTCCTAGCAGATACCATGTTTCAAGCTGCTGATTCGCAGCTTCACGCAGAAGCCAAATTTCAGAAATTCCGGCGCACCTGTACAGTCAGCGTAGACGCCAGCAACCACTCTGAGCTGAGCACCGCTTCTGGGCTTACGAGATGATCTTGGAGGCTCTTGCGCGTGACAGGCCCGAGGCACCTCAGCTGGAGGGAGAACGCCCTGAAACAGATTCAGACCGCTGGTCCGCTGGTTGTAGACATTGGGGCACACCCCATCACGACGTACCATTAGGCAAAGACGGCACGCATGTTGCATCAACACACACCCTGCTTGTCGCTCCCTCGCCATGCTACACCATTTTGACTCGCTCAAGTGTTGCCGGTCGCACGCTGCAGCAGCGGCCCCTGCAACCCAAATCCAGGGCCTGACATCAGCAGACATGATTGGCACAGGGAAACAATAGTTCGTTTCCTAATCTACAACTTGGCGGTCTGAGGGTCTTCAGACCAAGGTCTGGATTGGTGGAGCATGACGTCAATCTCAACCACGACTACAATCACTACAAGCCGCAGGAACAGCCCTGCCCGGTCCCATAATCCCGCTTTTACAGAGAAGGTGTGGATTCGCAAGAAGCATATGAGCTACAGTGACTATGTCCTACATAGTTTGATGGACGTGCGCCCCTCACTAGGCACTATATTCGAGACTATAGAGAGCTACCCCTGCGTCCACTGTTAAGGGTGCCGAAATAAGAGGATCTAGATGTCTCACTTAGATGCTGGCTTACCCGGCAAAGCTGCTCAGGATACTGCTGGGCTTCAGGCCCATTCCTCCAAGAATTTCGACACAGACTTGTCCCCTCCGGAGCTCAAGACCAATGCACGCAGGCGAAGCGAATGTTGCAAAACCCTAACACACGCGCGACCAGGATTCTCAAATTAGGGCTACAAAATCTCTCGGCTGGTCCGAACAAACACTCGAAAAGGAAACCAACTCAGCCAATCCTCCTGCCTTCAATGAGCACCCAGCCAGGGCTGTGCTTCGCAGCATCCAGCTGAGCCCACAGTCCTTAGCTGAAAGCGATCAAAATCATGGGGCTGCAGTTGTTCATAGCTTGAAAGTCAACAGTCTGGAGACTTTAGAAGCCGGCCAGTGACGACTGGTAAGCATGTACTGACACAGGGGACACCCGGCACCGAGAGTCTAGATTGGATTGTGGCCGATGCGTCATCCAAGCCACACATAACAAGATCAAAGACACATGACACAAACAGCACATGATACCACGACCATCCAAGACCCATCCATCATCACGACGAGAAAACAATCCAACAAAAGCTGCCAATCCCAGAAGCCGGAGCAGCAATCACAAAGTTACAAGTGCGCTGCGTGGAGTGAATCTGGCACTACCTTACCTAGAGTACCCGTTCCCTCCAGCCACCGCACAATTGTGAAGCCCGATCTGCTAGTTCTCTCCGCTTGGTAATTTGATAATTTCTGAAGTACATATGGACAGATATACCTTCCAGACCCTATTGTATCCTACATAACTTAGTACTACATCAGTTGCATTCCTACTACCGCAACGACTACCCTGGATATTATTATTGAGATTATTGTTACCATCACTTTGTTATGGCTGTCACTATCACCATTACTTTTAGCTTTCATTAACCCTTGTAATTTCATCTGACTACTCACCTTCCCACCAGGCCCTGCAAGCTCCCGACCTCCGCTTGGCCCGCGCCAGCGCTGGGCGGTGCAGTGGATGGGCTCCTTCCGCTTGGCCTTCCTTACAGGCTTACTATTGCTGATGATAGAAATCCTGCATGGAGTTACTACAGTAAAAAACTACCAAACTTCACGAAAGTCCAAGGTCCTTCGGGTCATGCAGGAGCGTCAGCATCAACAGTCGGAGTAATGGTTGGAACTACCATATTGGAAGTCGATGTAATGGGATTGAGTGACAAAGGCTGGATGCAGTGTACTATCATATCCTTAGGTGTGGGGTCCCTGGGTTTCAACTAGGGCTGGGATCTGTGAGCTACTCCAAATGATGTTGCAGCTTGAGGCGGAAGAAGGAATCATGATGCTACTGCAGAAGAGCGATCTTACGAGCAACTGTTGGATGCAACTGTCCTTGACAAATTGCATAAGCCTTCGAACCATGGACCACACTTCATTCAGCTAGGCATCTTGACCTGCTGCGTCCTTAGTTGTGTTCAACAGGGCAAGGTCATGTTGCCCAGGTATAATTGCAAGTTCTCTGCACACCTGGGAGCTGAGGATGCAACGCAGGATCCTCTCCATCTTTTCGTATCCAAACTCCTTGGAGAACGTTCCACCTCAGGTGAAAACCATCCGCTGGCGAGTATGCTGGCCTTTTGCTGCCGGAAGACATACCAGCATCCTCTGCGTCCGTGAGGACGCCGATAGGGCCTTCTTGGCCTCCAATGCTGTTGGCCAACCAGGCGAGGGGATGCTCAAACTTTTTAGGATACACCCGCTCCTTGCTCTTGGGCCGAAGGTGCAGCTTGCTTCTGCGAATGGCTGTTCGCGTCATGACCACAGACACAAGTCAGCCTCAGAGAGGTACACTGCTAATTGAGTGCAGGATGACTATGAGAAGTGTCAACCTGCTAGCTAGAATTGAGCTGCAAGGAATCCATCCATAACACTGCTACAGCACTGCAGGCACTACACCAACTGTTGCTGCAATTTGCTACCAGAACTACGAAGCACAGGCCAGGGAGCTGATACATTGACTTTGCCTGACACGTCATAGAGTGGTACCTGGCCGGATGCTCATGCAAGTCACGGCTGGACCTGTGGACCCCCCTTCTACCTCCGACCCCTGCACTCAACATTATCAGTCGCCGAGTCTACACTTCTTACCGCGACTAGTCCAGGAAGTGCGAGGAACAATATGCCAGGATCAGCTGGCAAGCCAACCTTGACTCCATCTCTTCCATGTTGATCCTGGAGCAACGCTCTGAAGCATCACCACGCCAAGTTTGGAGTCGTAATGAGAGTTGAGCTGGATGGCGCCGAGATGGGTTATGGTATGCCATTCTGATATTCCTTCAAACCAAAAACCGTTTCCAACAACGACTCAGATACTAGCAGATGACAGGTTCGATGTTGGGGCTTGAGAAAAGAGAAGGTGTGCAAGAAACAGCTGTCACCCTGGGGTGTGCTGACCAGCGCGCATTAGGTGGAAGAGGTGATGCAAGGCCACCCAGTCCACCCAGTGCAGTCCCAAAAAATGAAGGAATCCGGCATGGACATGTGTCAGCGATCATAACTCTTAAAGTTCACTGCTGTGGCACCTCTAGAATGTTTAGGATCATCAGGTCTGCAAGGCACAGACCTGCGACAACAGACATCCCGTAACCTCTATAAACCCTACCTATCCGCAAGTACAAGTGGGTGTGTAAATACGCATGTATATATGCAGATATGCATACATGCATGTGTTTCTATTGACCGGCCTAGCCACTCAAGACTTGTTGATGCATACTCTTGTGGCACCAGGGGATGATCCCTACCCTGTGGGTCACAGTATATGCTTATCCGTGGCGTTATGTATGGAAGGGTATGGAACGGAAAACGATTCGCTGAAATTCAACCTATGGATTTCGGTCTGGCAAGGATGTCCATCCGCACCTTGTTCCATACCTAACCGTTTTAGGAAACATCCCTATGTGTCTTTTTAGATTCCTTCACAGCCGCAGAAGCAACACAAATTTCTGCCGAGAAGCCCGTCTTCCTCCGCTTTGGCGACATCACGCTGCGCTTCCTCAGGAATCTGTGCCGCTTCGAGGAACGCTGAAGTTAAAGCTACTGGTGATGTCGGTTTTTGTCCAGGATCTTGTTCATTGCATCAAGCCATCACGCTGTATGCCTACAAGGATTCGGGGTCGAAATCTCAAATTGGGGATAGGTAGCTCCAAGCCCAAAACCATTAGCTGTGGTCCAAGAGGCGCTCTGGAAGTCCAGACCTCGCTCAGGACACTTGCAAACGGGTTGTCAAAAGTGGGTAAGCTTTTTGCACTGTGCCCCTAAGCAGAACACCTAACACCTGTCCATATCCCTGCTCTTTTTGCATGTCCGTCTGCCAATGTCTGATCACCTGCAACACATCGCGTGCTGTGCCTACATACTGCGTTCATAATTCTATCCGGCATGACTGGCTGCAACAATGAACACCGCTACTGCAGCAGCGAAAGGTGAACGCCTGCTACAACACAGACTCAAAGCATCGCGGCTTAGTCAAACAACCGACTAAGCATGTCTTAATCAACATCTGTGTAGATCGCAACTATCGTAAGGCACATAGCATAGACTTTGAGGCCTTTTTGGGACCCCCGAGTTTGAGAAATGCTCGCCGCTGTGGACAAATCAGAGTTCGGTTGTCGTGCGAAGGCGAAATTAGTTATCGCAGCTTCCTCGGATATCTGCATTACACGTTTTCTGCTGTTGAAACATTCTCACTCAGAGGCGTCTGTATACCCGAAGATCTCCTCCCCCCAACCCAGAGCGATGCCCCTAACTTGCAAAAAAATACGTTTTATTGTCCAGTGCAGCTTGGGGGAGCCTAAGGTGCGGGCAGGAGCACCCAGGGGCCGTACAGTGGAAGCGATCTCGCCCAAAGATGTCTTTGACCATGGCCGCTATCCGCTTTGTTGCTGCTAGTTGCTGCAGCTTAACTAAGAATTAGTCTAGCAACGCTTGCTAGATTCGAGATCATTTGAACCCATACCCTTGTTCATGGTATTGTACTTCTATTGCTGGGACTGTTTCCTACCGCTTATGGCATGATATTTGGAATAATTGCGGCATCCCCTCCTAGCGAACGCAGATGGCAAGCAAGGTGCCTGAGTCTGACACAAACGCAGCGAAGCATGTGCTCCCGGAGTTTGCGGATGGCATTATGTTGTCAGTGCCCTACCGGCACAAGATTGCTTGAGCAAGCTGTTTGCGGTCAGAGGCATGCAGCCTGGACGACTTCCCGGACGGACGTTTACAAGTCTGCACGTGTTATTCAACGCAATTCCCACCAAAGCTTGAGGAGCCCAACAACATCTCGAACCAAGGGCAGACGCGCTGCTCAGCCTGCAGCGGGTTATGATGCCTGACCTGCACCCCTGCTATTGAGCCAGGGCGAGAACAAGGACCAGTACCAAGCCGGGGCTTTCACTGGAGGCACACGCGCCGCAAGCACACCGCTACATGGCAACATGATGGCCAGTGCTCACAGAAGACAGATTTCTGGGAAGTATGCTATATGCTTGCCAAACATGTGGGGCTTGCATGTGGCTTGCACTGCTTTCCACAAATATGGCGTCGGAACATGGCTCTGCTTGAGCAAAGCACAAAGCCTTGTTGGGACTGACGGCCCACGCAGCTAGCAAGCAGCTCGGGTGAAGGTAAGCACAAGCCCCAAGTTGAGTTTAGACGGCTGACAAACTGCAAGCGTGACCAGCTGCAAAAAGGATCGCCATCACAATGGCACCTCTTCTTTTCTAAGCAGGTGTCTGAACAAGTACACCGAGTAGCTTCTTGCTACATCCACTTGCGGCAGCTTTGTGCTCGCGACATTTTCGCGGGTACTGCGGCCTTTTACAGCTGCAGGTCTTCTGCAGCTACTCGGTCAAACAGCTTACCTCCACAGTCCCAATGAAGTGAGCTGTGTGTTAGGTTTCTGCGTGGAGGCTTCCTGCTGGCCACAGCTTGGAACAAGATCGAAGCTAGCTTGAGCCATATCCATGGTCGTTGGAAACCGGGACACAAAAACAAACACATCATGCGATATGGCCCAAGCAGCACTAACTAAATGCAAAACCCCCGGCAAAGTAGACTTGCTGCTTGTGTACACCCACGGGCTGAGCACACCTCTGTAAGTTTGGCTCAGGGGTAAGGGCTTCTCTAGAGGCTAAGCAGCACTTCACTTCACTTCTGCTGATCAGCAGAAACTCCCTTGGGGGCCTGCATCTCAGAAAGTAATCGTGCTCGGTATTCCTCAATGGAGATTCGACCTCCAGCAGTGAATTCGAAACCGTCCTCGGCCATCCCTCCCTTAACAGCCTTAACACATCCGCTAAACACTGCACGGCAGAATCCTCACTGTAAGCCATGCACCCAAATCCGTGCAGCATCATCTCCAGATGATGTTCACCGTAAGTCTGGCTCTTGTTATTATTGTTGTTCTGGCTCTTGATGGGGTTTCCACGAAGGGAATTTAATTGCGCAGATGATAACTTTTTTAGGTATCTACGCGGGACCCTTTGCTGAAAGCTCCCGTATGATAGCTTAAGGAAAGAGGGAATCATGTCTAGCTAGTCTAGCTTCCTTAGCCCCCAACAGAAGAATCGCCCTGATGCACCCCAGATCAATCCTAAGAACAAAGTTCCAACATGATCCCGGCTTCAAGACATGTCTCCAAACAATCCTCCATGCCACTTCTTGTATTCCCTTAGCCCGAACCCTTACCCCAATACAAAACCCTAAACCCTAATCCCTGACAGAACTAAAGAGGCATGCCTGCGGTCACGAGCTCCTCCAGGGGCGCTCCTGCTTGCGCGGCCGGCACATCCTTGGTTCAGAGGCCACTGAGGCATGGTAAGGCTTTGGAGTTCACGGTGCAGGGTTAGGGCTTGGAGCTTAGGACTGGTGTTAAGGTTTTAAGGATTTGGCGTTAGAACTTGGAGCTGAGGGTTCGGGATGTTTTAGCAGGATTCGGCAGATTCTCACGCAATGTACAATGTTGTAATGATAGCGACAAGCTATCAAGGCCTCATACTGCAGGGCATTCAGGCGCTGAGAGGCTTTACTGACTAGAGTTCTCGGATTTTGGCCGTGACAATGTTGGGATAAGGCTGAGAGGTTGAACCTGTGGCGCGGGTTGATGCGTTCAGTCTGCAAGTTTTTGCTTTTAGGCCACGACCCGCTCTGGCATGGAATAGTATTTGGTATGGCGCTGCCTACTTGGCAAATCAAGCCCAGGAGCCGAAACCACAGATTCCCTCAGAAATGGCTCAATCAAAAGCTTCTGTAAAACCTGATCCCAAAATTCTCAAACCCCAAAAGAACCGCTACAACCCTATCAAGTCAGAACCCTACTTTCTGACAAAAAATATGCTCCCATAAACCATCTGCACTCAACGATCCAAACCTCAGAATTCCCGTCAACCTTGAACCCAAAAGTCGAAACCCCACGAACACCTCAGCCTCGTGCCAATGACCCCCCAAACCCAGACAATGCTGTTAAGCCTCCAAACCTTCAAGAAACTTGAAGAGCCTCCGGAATCCTGTACTTGCCTGAACTTCACAAACCCAACAACATCACCAAAACCGCTCATCCCCATCACACTCCCGCAACCCCTGCAACCTGACCCAAGTGGTGGCTTCTTGATCTGCACATATCCGGGTCTTAAACCTTCTACATAGAATGGGTGCCTTTGAAATCCCCAGAAAGCTGCTCGACCACCATTGCCAACCAGTCGCCGACTTTCCGCCCCAGCCACGTCGTGGAAGGACTCGCTTGGTGACTGAGCCAAAAGTTAAGGGTGCCTGGGGTCTAGAGTTTGGGTGCAATGTAAGGTCCTACGGCATGACTACTGCAGGGATTTAAGGTGATTTAAGGTGTTCGCGGGGCCAGACATGGACTTTTCTGGGCCGTGGCGGGATTCATGTAACAATTGCTACGTATCACGCTACAATTCTGATAAACAACTCTGGCAAAGATGAACGGGATTCTCATGAGGACCGTAGCGTTGTGTGCAGCCACTCTTGGGTCTGTTCTACCTCGCGTTGAGCCAACATGACACTTGTCAAGATGAGGATATTCCTGTTGGAAACTTGCAAAATCATGTCCAAACGCGAGATTCAGATGAAGCTCCAGGGTGTTGCGGGGACTTGCTATCTGAAACGTGCGAGAAACGTGCGAGGACACAGCTCCGCGCACATGTACAGCATAGACTCAGCCACGCGGCATGTCCATTTTCATCATCGCTACCACCCTGTAAGACGACTTCTGCTAGCAGTATCAGTCTGAGCCTTTCTCATACCCTTTCTCTGTATTACTGTATCCTATGGCTATCAAATTATTAACAGGAGACAACGGCATGTCACACCAGGCAAATTGAGGCTGAGGCAGGGTGAGGGCGCCTGCTTCTCAAAGGGCGAAGGACCTCCATTGATGGTTGTCACTGATGGACCCACTACAAAAACTCTTTTCATACTTGTGACTCTCCTTGCTACTTTACTCATGCCATCGGTGGCTAGCATCTAGTCTACTCATGTCTACTGTACCAGAATACTTTAAGCATTGGGAGGGAAAGCCGAAGGATTTAGGGCTCTACCCTGAGCCCTAAACCCTTAAACCCTACACCCTTAACCTCCAGACCTTAACAAAACCCTGTAAACCCTCATCCTCTTCCATCCTTCAACCCGTGAGTCTCCACGAAGAGTTCCACAAAACCGACTAAATCCTCTGAGCGCCGGGCCAGCCACAATTCCAACGCCCAGCCGCGACAGGTTTCTCTCAGAGCCGCTTCCTTCTGGGGTTTAAGGTCTTAGGGCTTAGGGTCTAGGGGTTCAGGGTTCAGGGCTTAGGGGTCCAAAGTTCAAGGATTCAAGGGCTTCGGTTTCAGGGTTTAGGGGCTTAGGGGTTTAGGGTTTGGGTCTGCGGGATGAAGGTTAAGAATCAGGGCTGTTTCGAGCCTCAGAGTTCTGTGGTAGCAGATCTCAGCTTCGACAAAGGATTTTGGGGTGCAGGGGTTCAGAGATGGGCCCATGATCTCCCAACCTTCCATAGACTACCTGCTGCTCTACCCCAAGCCCTCACTGCTGCCTGCTGATGTATTAACAGAGATCCTGTATACCCCAATATTTCCCCAATATTACCCCAATATATAACCCCAATATAACCCCTATATAATCCCAGTTTCCATTTGATTTTTGCATTACCCCAATATTACCATCCTGAACAAAAACAATGCCCAGCCGCCTTTGGGGCGGAGTGGCCGGGCATAGTGGCCTCAAGGTGAAAATCGTTCAAATGCTGTGGATCTTGGTATGTCATGCTTTTGAGAGACTGTGAGGTTTCTGAACTATGGGTCTCAAGGTCACGGTACTAGTGAAGAAATCTACTGAGGAAGGAAGAAACACAAGAACCAGGGCGGCAGATGCCATTAGTAGAATGCCCCTGGCCCTTGTGCAAGCTTGAAGGATAAGCTTGTTTATAGCACGTTGTGACGAGGAAAATTGTAGACACAAGCATCCCACTATATCACAATGACAGCAAGCAACAATTTCTCTGATAAATGTTACTGCATCCCGAGTGGGACCCTCCAGGAGACCACTCTCCTTGATTGGGTCATGTCACGTTAAAATTGACCGAGCAAAGTCATGACACATACACCCTCAGTTAAGCCGTGAACAAGCAAGTCTACGTGGCCCGATTTAGGAAGCCCCACATGGGAGTTTCCATACCTGGGAGGAACCCAATCTTGACCCCGAAATCCTATAGTATACTATAATCCTCAAAATAAAGAGCCCCAAAAAGAACCCCTAGTTTCAAGAATCCCAACATGGTGGAAGAGAGCTTTGCAAAGGCTCCGGCTTTGATACGTACTGGTCAATGTGCTGAGTCCCTGCTGGGTCGGAGCCTAAGGAGCTTCCCCAAGCAAAGCTGCAAGATGAGATGGGTAACCTAAACAGAGCCCTAGGAAGACCATGGTAGCACCAACAGGGGTATTCATTTGGCCCCGTGTTCGTTTAGGGAGGCAAGAAGACCAGATGAAGGCATGTTAAACGACCAGCGTAATTGGCAACAAACCTGCGAGTTGGCTGAGATGCATCCAAAAGGCAAGAAAGTTGGGCTGGTACACGAAGCTCTGATAACGAGCCATGCTGCCAGCTGTCCCGCAAGCTACGGACAATTGCTATGCCTGATGCTGTACGCATGCTTCATCATGAGTGCCATGACAGCCTGAGGGCGTGTTGCTTTCCAGAGCTTAGGCTTTCCTCACACATGCCATGACAGTCCAAGGACATTTTGCCTTCCAAAGTTCAGGCTTACCCTGCCGGTAATTGCAGCTGGAAATGTCTGCGCAACAGTGCAACACATGTTTTGTTTTGGGACTGTCCACCACATAGCAAACGCTGAAACTCCGAAGTGCATGTGTCAAGAAGTAAAGCAGCGCATCCTGCATAGAAATCCTCTGTGATTTCCAACATCCAAGACTTCCACAGATAAGGCATGTGATCGGTGAGGCTTTGCTCCAAGTGATCAGGCCAGCGTCTCGAGGCCGCTGCGCTGCAACGTCAAAACCCAGTGCTACGATGTTGGCGGATCCCTTGCGGGTTGTCCAGCCGCCATCTTGCAGATGCCGCCGTCGCAAAAATTCAGTTGGCAAGAGGTTGGCACTGCGCTTGCTGCATCGTGCCAGGTTCGCTTGACCCTGTGACTAGTGCGCTGCACGAGCACAGGTGAACGCATCCTGGCCACAGTGTAGTCCTCCTGGCTTTCCCCTTTGCCCGTATTCCAGTAATTATGAACTGGCCATAGTGCTGCATGGTGACGACCGATGTCCCGGTCGTCAGGCTGTTGCTTATTCAGGGCACCGGAACTGAAAGGGTTGATCACTGGCAATTGAAGAAATTCACTCAGGATCCGGGGTCACACGCAGCACTTCCAAAACTTGCCTGCTTGTAGCTTGTAGCTGGGCCTCACCTTGCTGTTGGCATGCGGCGGCGCTTTCTTGGAGGCAGATCACCTTCTTCGGCCTTAGGCAGCCTCGTCAGCCATGCCATTGGCTTAACATCCTCAGGCTTGGAGCCCTCTTTGCCAGGCTGCGAAGGGGTCGTTTGCTTCCAACGTGTAACCGCAGGCTGAAAAGGCGTATTTGACTGCTCAGTGACCAAGAGTGCTTCTGAAGCTTGCTCCGCACCATCATCCCAATCTCCATGGCTATCCACTGCACAGTCGCTGCTCCTCATTCGTGCCATCCATGCAAGCAAGGCCTGAAGAACGGAACTCAACTCAATTCACAGTCGAAATCTGAGATGGGTAGTGAATTGGCGTTCCTAGCCTGTGCCTTCTCTGGCTGACTATCCAGCTGCATAGGAGCGGGGTCCATCAGCCCTTTCCGCTCTCTAGCTCAACTGTGACGAAACAAAAGAACGGATGGCTGCAGCAGCCAAATACCCAGAGTAGACTAATCATGTAGATTCGGCTGACAGGGTCGCTTTTTGGTACTCCTAAAAACATAATGTATTTTCTAACCAAAAGCGGCCCATAATTTTGAGAACAACCCACTGGTATCAGAGCATATAACCACGACAACCCATTTCGGACAGGGCCTCAACAGAAGCCCTCTGCCCGTCCGGAAGCATCTGAAGTGCCCGGCGCCCGCCCAAAAGCAACCGAGCCGGCTCGCTGAAGAGGCTGCCACGGCACTCCCTGCGCACCTCCTCAGCCCCACCTGAGACTGGTCAGACTGATTTCATGAAGCTGTGTAGGAGGCCTGGATTTTATGCGTACTGGGGTAAGACTGCAAACATCGCCCTCGGTTTGACCATGGAGCTTCGCGCCATCTTGTGCCAGTGCCAAACAATTTGTGAATGCAGGACCGGCCCCCTTGATTCAAAAATCTGTGCCGGCCGTGCTGCCACGCTCAAGGTGGATGGCGCGGTAGGCATAGCATTGGCACTTGAGTAGGCGACCTGCGTGGATGAGCCAGTGTCTGTCCTTCTGCATGAGAATTGGGGGCAAAGATTGCAAGCAGAATTTTCATACCAAATGCGGTTGCAATGTGGAAGCTACGGCGTTCTTATTACAATGCAATGGCTGCTGCGTGATTTGGATTGTGCGCTTGCCTGTGGCCCGAACCACCTCGTAGCAGAGCGCCAGGTCTTCTGACTTGCCTGAGCGCACGCTGGCTGCATTTCAGAACACAAGGCCAACAATCCTTTTTGAAGGAAATTGTGCATGCCAAACATACATCGCATCCAACAAGGCCTTTCAAGCGCCTACGTGAGACTCAGGACCAATGGTGGATGTAATGGGGTGCGAGTCTCGGTACTCTCGGTACAAGGACTGCTTTCGTAGTGTAAGGGCAGTGTATTGCAGCCGGCTCCTGCAAAACCACTACCAAGCACGCGACGGAGCACCGGGCAGTACTCGATCTTAAGCTCCCGCAGCCGCACAAGGTTGAGAAGGACGACCTGGTCCGACGTGAAGAATTGCACTTTTGCTAGCAGTGGGATTGACAAGAGCAAGTTATATGCTAGCTTTGATAGCGTACTAGCAGCGAAACTAACCTTCCGGTGCAGAAAACTGCTCGGGCGAACAAACATGTAGACGGCAAACATACGCAGATGTCACGTCAAGTCTGATGACCGATGTTCTCGGGGCTCCAAATGAAAGTCACGGTGTGCTGTACAGGAATGCAACGCGTGCTATGGATGTCCAACCTAGTCCCTGGCCACTGCTCCTTGCTCCACAACAAGAAACCCCCTGTCCGCACTCCGCCTTCTGTAGCGACAGGGACGCGTCAACGGCCCAGTCTTTCCTGGGCTGAGCTAGACACTCTCGACCGTCTCAGCCACACAATTTCCCAACCTACTACAGAATAGTGCCCATGTGTAGGGGCTGGTGGCTTCCTACACGGCTGCACTGCAGACGTTGATCTTGCGTGAGCAAACCATGCCATAAGGACTATCAGCCTTGGTTTAATGTTGATAGTGAGACTGTGCTGTTCAAGCTTCGTTATGAGAAGGTTGCCACCCCGATCTCGGAGAAATCCGGCCACAGCAGCATCACAAATATCCTTTTCAGATGCAGGACTTCCTAAGGGTCTGGTGATTTGTGGGCATTGTCTTTTCCTTTTTGTTATTGCTTATGTGCTGAGAGACGCGAATGAAACCTTCAGAGCAATTGCAACAACAAAAATGCAATACTGCGATTCAAAACCGGCTGCATGTCCCTGGTTTGAGCGGGCGCACTGCTTTTCTCCACAAAAGCCAAGCGAAGCCTTCCTCATAAGCAAGGTTTCTAGACTACCCATCATTATGTGCGTGCCGGGTACCACTACAAAGCTACCCCGGGAAGGGAAGCGAACATCGCAGGAAGGCTTCACCTTGAGTTATGTGTTCCTAGCAGTGTCCTGCAGAAATCAGGTCAGGTTTCCTTGCAGAAACTGCCACAAGGTCCTTGGGTTTGGTCATTTTCCGCATGGAGGCTCAACTATTTGTCTCGCACCGACACGGCCCCACTCAAGAAAAAAGCGCATGATGCCCCGTGCTGTCCAAGCGATGATCATATCCACTGCATCCCATTGAGCGGAGAACAAGGTGAGCGTCAAGCCAAAAAAACGCCCATTGCCATTGTTGTAAACATCCCTCCTCTTTCGATGCTGCTACGGCAACTACAAAGTCCTACCAGCAGCATGACAATATCCCTGACAATCCCCACCATTCGCTCCCCTCAGGAAGATCGAGTCCTCTCTGCGCTGCACTGCGAGAAAGGCCTCATAGCTGCAAGGCAACCACACCCACGCACGGACGCAAAACCTACCTGCTTTCCTCGGAAGCCCTAAACGGACAAACTATCAACATGCAACATCTGCCACGCACAGTAGATCCGCTTATGCTTGCTGCTCTAGTCTAGACATAGCTCATGGCTCCCAGTGCGGATACCGCTAGCGTTGGTGAAAGTCATTGGATCGCTATCTGCAGCATCACTACTAAAATACATCTACAACTGTTAGCACTCTTCGCAATGCTGCTGTTTCGCTTGCTGGCCTCCCAGAAGCCCGCACGTGGAAGCGCATGGCGGATCCTCCCAGCACTGCGCGAGCAAGCTTCAGAAATACCATTCTGATCATCGTGCCGGTGGCCATCGTCGTCGTCGTTGTCGTCATGGTCGTTGTGGTGGTGGCGGTGGTAGTAGTAGTAGTAGTAGTAGTAGTAGTAGGAGGAGTAGTAGTAGTAGGAGGAGTAGCAGTAGTAGTACTAGTAGTAGTAGTAGTAGTAGTACTAGTACTAGTAGTAGTAGTAGTAGTACTACTAGTGGTAGTAGTAGTAGTAGCAGCAGCAGCAGCAGCGGCAGTAGTAGTAGCAGCAGCAGCAGCAGTAGCAGTAGCAGTAGCAGTAGCAGTAGCAGTAGCAGTAGGTAG